GTGAGAAAGTATTGTTGAAGTTAACGTTCGTTATAGCGTTTGTTTTAGCGCGAATGTTGAAATCAAGTGTATCGTCAAGTTATATTCAGGAAGAATAAACCAGTTTTATTAAGTAAGGACTTGTGTCGCTAAAGTTTCGTCGGAACGAAGTTACGGAAAATTAATTAACAAACAGAGACGTAACAATATTAACTTATTGGAAAGGGTTCAGAGAAGGATTACTTTTATGATTTCAGGATAGGTTAAGAAGGGTAAGAGGTGCTCTTAATGAAGTTTTCAAGATTACCTTGAGGACCAATAGGATAAAGGCCTCTAGCCTCTTTGTGCCCTATCCTGATGACAACAGGAAGAGAGGACACAAGTTTAGAGAACATAGGCTAGGCTACACTTATGACATTTTTATCTATTTAGCAGGGTGATTAGTATGTGGAATGAGTTACCATTGTCAGTAGTGAAGGCTAGCAACTTACATGTTTTCCTTTAGTTATGAGCATGTACTGCACACGTGCATTCATGAATAGCAACTTGAATTACTTCATTGGTACAAGGTTGAATGAAGTTGTCAATGTCTGAACCTCGCCATTCAAACAATTATGAAATCATGATTCATATGCTTTTTCCATCATTATTTTTATGCATATTTAAAAATGTATGGCTTCTGAAGAATAACTCGTTATGGGTGCACATTATCAAGAAGCTTGTTGCAATGTGTGCATAAAAAATTCAGGGTTGGCAACATGGGTGAGCCCATGGTTATAAGCTATATAAAGGGGAAAAAGCATGAGGAGCATGTGCATAAATTGCACTTGTCAACAGCAGCCACACTGACCATATGCATTTTGATATAGTCTGAATGTAGGCCAACGGCAGATAAAACATCAACAGTTAGGCCTACTGTTCCAACAAATCAACACAATGCCATAGACCAGCAAGTAAGTGTATAATATTCCTAAATTTAATTTAATATTGAAGAGAATGGGTCAAATTTCATTTAGATGCTCAATACAACTGAATAAAGTTGCATTATTTTGCAATTAGCCTTTGGGTGATTCACTTCTTTTCATCTAGGTGTCAGCACCTCATTATGCAATTTATTCATTATAGGGCTGGCTGGATTCATATGTTTCAAAGTAAGATGATTGGAAAGCTGAGGTTTAGTGGGTCCTGAAAACCATTGTTAGCTGGCACAGTTACGAGAGTTGGGAAAACATAAATGAACTGTTTAAAAAGATGTTTCCAGATAGTAAAATTACATCCAAGTGCCCTTGTGGAGAGAAAATATGTGCATATTTGACTTGTTTTGGATTGGTCTCATATATAAAGTCAAATTTATATCACAAGCTTGGAAGAGAGACAGACTTTGTGCTCTTGTACAATGAATCCTTAAATGATAAAAAAATTGAAAAGGACCAACTTTATGTGTACCTTCGGTCCTTTGACTCGTAAAAAAAAATCTTGTGATGACTAGATTTCTGGATTCTGTATTCCTTGGCCACACACACAGGCTAATGATCTCTTAAGCCATTTCTTACAGCTGTCAAAAGAGCTAATCTTAGTCATCTTTTGCAAATAGGGATGGATGGTCTAAATGTTAACTGGTTGTTCCATGAAAAATTAGAATCAAGATTTAAAAACTACAAATTTGAACCCATTTTTAATCAGCATAGAGTCATGTGGTCTTCACACAGTCCATGGGGCTCTTCATACTGCTTTCAATGCCTCTGATTGGGATTTAGAAGCAGTACTTAAATCAATGTACCACCTTTTCAAAGATTCTTCAACCTGATGGGAAGACTTTGAGAAAATTACTGAGCCTCATATGTATGCACAGAAATTTTGTTCTACTCAAGGAGTAGACAATGCACCTGTTGCACAAAGAGTAATTGAAATTATTCTGAATTTTCAAATGTACATCAAAACACTTAAAGCAAAATCAAAAGAAAAAAAAACATCAAGCATTAAATATTAAGAAATCTGCAACAAATGATATTCTTTCTGTAGCAAAGTTATCATTTTATGTTTTGATATCCAAAGAACTATCTCCATTTCTGACAAAATATCAGATTGACCACCCTGTACTGCCTTTTATCAGCTGTGATCTTGAGTCTATTATCATAAACCTTCTGAAAAGGGTTTTAAAAAACAATGTGATGTCCAAAGCAGACACTGCATTTAAATTGTTGAAAATTGACTTAAGCAATAAGGAAAATTTCAAATTGACTAAGCATGTCAATACAGGTTTTTGTGCAACAGAAAATATGAAAGTATTGATTACCACAGAGAAGGCAACTCCAAGAGATGAGCTTGCATTTTGCAATGAGTGTTTGTTTGTTTTGATCTGTTCAGTTGAGAAATCGCTAGTGAAGCATCCATTGAAATACTCATTTACTCATTATGTCACCTGTTTTTCTCCTCTAAAAATGATCTCAGATGCGATTGATAAAAGGCTCATTTTCAGTGTGTACTGTCCACTTTTGTCTATTTGAAACGTCTTAACCCCTTCCAAGATGAGTCACTGGTGAAAGGACATGTCATCTCGTTTGTTAACTCGCATTCAAAATTTTATTGAACTACTATTTCATGAATTTTTGTCAATAAGTTTGGTATCAAACTGTAGATTATAATTCAAATTTTAGTACTATATATTACTCAATTTCTTAATTCAAAAGCAAATATTAAAAATGCAGCACTGGTTCAAATTAAGCGTTTGTGAAGT